TCAAAGTTAAGTTGTGTGATCCTCTATCTATCTTCTTTTTGGGTATTTAAACCGTCTCGAACCGTCTCAAACGTAAGGTTTTATTTATGAATTAATATGAGTTTTAACTTTTTTTATTGCTGAAGATTTGTGATTTCATGGATGTCAGTACACAAAACAAGAGAGCTACGTCCAAATATATGGACACGTCTGTTCGCAGTACAGTCCGGTTTACCGTACCGTCGATCAGCGTAAGGAAAAAATCGTAGCAAAGTACCGTGAGGACTTCGTTACGAACCATCGACGTTCGATGGCACGTGATCAAAAAGAAGAGGAGGGTCGGCTATGCGTCCTCAGAACGTTCGGTGACGTCATAGCAAACAAAAACAAATTTCACAGAGCTAACAGAAATAAATAAAAGTAATAGCCTTCTGGAGGAAAATTTCATCTTTAACCAGTAAAAATTTCGAAGCAATCGGTCCAGTAATGAAAGAGAAAAGCGGTTTTTTAGATTTTCCACTAGATGTCCAAAAAGTGTCAAAGAACAACAACAACAAGACCAACATAATATTGTATTGAAACGATCGTAATGTCCACTACGTGTCCAATAATCCAGTTTCAATTTTCGGTCCGCGGTGTGAAAACGTTAGCAGCCGCGGATATAGTCGATATGTTTTGGCTTATGTGTTTTTTTCTTCAACGAGACCTAATTACTCCATGTCTACTAGAAAATGTGCTCTTCGCAACGTGACAATCCTTCGCGCGTGGTTCCTGAACACTTTTCGCAAGGTCCTTTGACTCAACTCAAATTCACAAATGCTGGTCCAAAGTCAAATGTGTAATGATGCCAATAAACAATTTTCACTTCAGAAATCTTATTGCGTTTATTTTGCTGTTCTTCCATAGTTCTTCTGCACTATCTTCCGCAAAAATATCGGAAAATCGTACTCGTAACCCGCGGGCCGTATCCCCTGTATTAAGGTGTAGGACCAGCCATCGGCCATACAATCGCGCGTAGTGCGACCCGGCAGCATGCCACAGGCTCACACCAAATATTTATTCAAAAGTTTTGATACATCGTTATATATGCTGAAAATTTGAGATACTTTACCTCCTACTCATGGTTTACGTCAAAATAACACACCAGTACAAGCACTGCAACAAAATCAATTATCTCAGAAAATGTCAGTGTAGACATCATAAGGGGCGCTGTGGGTGCCGAGAAAGTTGGAATTTTAGGAGATGTTTTCTGTCAAAATCAACTCAAGGTTTTCGTTTTATTATTATGTATATAGGCCTACATATCGTGTATTCTGTGTTTTCTTTATTAGTATATATATATTCAAGAGTATCAAACACCGTGGAGTAGATGGCAAATTCAACAAGTACACGTCCTTCTTCATTATTTGTCCAGAATCAATATGAAACAATAAACTGATTTGACAACTAGTACACCATTCTAATTATCAATCTTAATTAGCCAAAACAAAAGAACAGCTACTAAAGACGAATACAGCAAATAACATTTAAAATGGCGCCGCTATTCAAACGTGGAAAACAATAGAGACAATGCTTTATGGTCAAAGTAGCATGCTGAAAATTTTTTTCTCTCAATATGTCCTTGCGCCAAAACAAAATACATTCGTACGTTCTTTAATAGCACATAAAAAACGATAAGTAAAAGTAACAGCCTTCTAGAGAAACATGTAATCTTCACTTACTGAAAATTTCATAGCAATTGTTCCAGTAATCAAGGTGGAAGGCGATTTTTTCAAAACGATACGAAGAAGACCAACAAGAACAAGATTACCAAAAATATGAAAACGATTCATAGGTCCACTCACGTGTCCAATGACACTTCATTTTTCTATTCTCGTATTCCAGCAATAATGCATTCATAATAAGTTTTGTTGAAATACTTTTTACCATTTTTTCAATCCTCGTCATTCCTTTTTATAAATTATCAAATAGAAAAAGGACACTCAAATTTTGATATGTAGCGTATCATTAGAGCATTTCACAAAAACTTTACGGTTTACCTTTTCGGCCACCATCGACTACATATCATCCTTGAGTGTCTCATACCATACAAACATTAAAAAAGGCACATTCACCCCCTACGCTTAATCTTTTATCTCCCCATATCTACTTTTATCTATAATTATCAGCTTGTCTCTCACGAGACAAATAAACAAACGTAGATAACAGTTTCACGTCTCAGTTTCTTGGTGCGTTATAATTAATCAATTGCGTGGAACTGAAATTAAAGTGGAGTAAAATAGCAATTTACGCGCAATCCCATACTTTCCAAAACCCGCATGTTTGTTCCATTCCATGACGGTTCCATTACTTTTGAACCCAAGTAATTGCACCTACATACTATTGCACCTATGGAAATTTGCACCTACGGATATTTGAACCCATACTAACCCCAACCCATGGATTTTAGCACCCGTATATAGATTGAACCCGCGAATATACGGGTGCAAATGTATGGGTTCAAATGTACGGTCACCCGCGATTCATTTGTACGGCTTGCAGGCAAGTCTGCGGGAACGAAATTAAAAACTTTTTAAATCAATCGGAATAACAGATGACTAGACAAGCGAATATAAGTGACGAATAAGCGAAGAGTTTGCGAATCTCCCGCGTATACGGATGGTTGGTCAAAGAGCGCTTATAATATTCACTCTTTTACACGCCGCATGCTTTACTTTTATTGTGTTATTGTCGAGTTGAGTGATAAAAGGGTTAACCTGTCACCTCGGGAGAGAGACTGGCGTGTCGATCAAAAGAGAAAAAAAGGCACAAGCGTCTCAATATATCAGTTGTGTAAATTGCATAGGTCAAGGCGGCCAGGCAAATCACCGAAGCTCAGAAAGTTTACAAATACGCAATGGCAAGTCGTCGACAGTTTTGGGTTATTTGATAGTCAAGAAGTGTTCTTTCATATTAGTAGTGAAGAATTCATATTGGACAGTGATTCTGAGAATGACAATTTGGATGCAACTGATGTTTCTGAGGAAGAAGATATATTTGGCCCGGCAACTGACGATGAAGAGGACTCAGAATGTAAGTATCATTTTTCTTATTCTAGTTTGCGTGTACCTTTACTCAACTGGTGAAAAATTTTCTGTGTGGCAATTGTATGTCGTGTATTATATGATAGTATATTATCGCAATGAGCATATATACAATGAGTGGAAACTTGCAAAGATTTGCTCATTGTGGCATTGTTCCCTGCATTTTTTTACGTCGTCCAGCTAAGGGTTCGTTGCATATTAAGAAAACGCATTGCTCGTTGCCAAATTCCCTTGCTTCAGCCGAGTCGGGTGCGAAATTGGCCGTATTGAGGTCTTTAATTTTTCAATACATATTTGGTTTTGGGTTTCGAAGTATGGTACGCTGAAAGCATACAACTATGAGCATATGCTTATTGGGAATGCATATCTATTAGACAGAAAACGTATCTACAGAACAGAATATGAACCAGTCGCCGAGAGGAGTGCGGTTTTTTATTTATTAATTGATATAACATGGGATTTACATATTTTATCCAAGGGGAGAAGAAGGCCTAAATATATGGCGAACCACGGCCTCTCTCAATCATAGCTCTGTGCTCCATATGAATCACATGGCTCTGCGAGCTATTCGTTTACTTATTAAAAATACTGATTTTAACTATAAATTACTCTGGGATATCTTGCCATTGAAAACAAAAGCCAGAAATTGGAAGAATAGCAGGGAATGAAATGTGTGTATTATGTAATGGAGAACCTGAGTTTGTTTCACATATTTTCATGTATTGTAAATTTACAAAAAATATTTATGAAGATTTTGTTTTAGATATATTAAAATCATTTTGTTATCAATATGATTCTTGCATATTTAATTTTAACGATCCTTTATATAGTCATATAGATACTGTTGATTTGGATGCAATTATACTTTTGTAATCAATAGTGAGATATAAAATTTTGACCATGAGAAATTCTATTATATTCGAAAATAAAACACCACATTTTGCCTTTCTCAAAAAGCAGATAAAAATGGCCATAATATGTAGAAAAATATAGAGAATTATAGAATAAACAACCCATTTGAGAGGGAATTGAAAAATTTATGTAAAGCATTATTTTAAAAAGAAAATTATATGTTTATGATATTTACTAATTTTATTTTTTTTTTTTATCAATGCATTTATTAAAATAACCTAATTATGGTATGGATTACTACTGGAATTGAACAAAATAAATACTGGATCATGGATGCAAAATGGAATATGAACTTATTTATATTATATATATTATTTTATATACCGTAATTAAAATCACTCATTGAGTGAACGAATGAGCATACTGTAATGCTTATTGGGAATACATACCATCTATTAGGCAGAAAACTTATCTACAGAACAGAATATGAACCAGCCAAGTGGGGACCTGGGATATTGTATTCATTGATATAGATAGAGATAGTTTATTTTGAAAAGTCCACAATCTGACAATACAAACAAATAAAAAATGGAGAGTTCTGGAGAGCGAGCAAAACCTTTAAAAAAGTTCAAAACACGATGAGTATCATGTGCCTGCTGTGTTATAGCAAGTAGTAATGTGTAATGAATTTAATTCACTGTGGTAAATGAATTGCTATCTTTTTATTTGTTATGAGCACACTTGCTGGAACTCCATAATCTATTATTTTATTTTTAGTAACACTTTTTATAAAAATATCAAATTGTTTATCATACTTGCATCCATATTTCGCCCTAAATTCCATTCTATGACACTTTCTCTGTATCCAAATATCTATGTACATGACCACATTATTTATTTTTTAGTAATACTTCATTTAAAAGTATGTAATGTTTATTATCATTTTTTGCCTTAAATTTCATTCTATGATACTTGCTCTGTATCCAAATATCTATATGTATATGAGCACTTTATTTATTTTTTAGTACCGGTAATACTTATTTAAAAATAACCTATTGGGTATCATTGCTATTTCAGTATATTATCAATATTTCGCCTTAAAATTCATTCTATGTTACGTGCTCTGTAGCCGAATATAGATATGTACATGAGCACTTTATTTCATATATATATCTGCTGGAGAAGGGTCAAATCCTGATCATGTATTATTGTGTGTTACTATCCTCCAAATCACTTGCCAGTCATAATCAAGTATTATAATTTGATGTGTTCAAATTATAGTGTATAAAGAAATCTACTCATGATTTCATTACTATTATCAAATGTTTATAATTAAAGTGCTATAATAATAGAATTTTCCCCATCTTTGCTTATAAAAAATCCATGTCCTATTACATTCATTTTTAGTAGACAAATTTTCCAAATAATAGGTATCCTCGCTAACCCATTTTTATGCAGTTGATATGCAATACATGTCAACTTATCAGCTGAATAAATGATGATCTTAGGACAAAACATGATTATTTAGTACTTTCCAAATCAAAAATTCTTGTGAATAATGTATATAGTGAATAAGGTATATGAGAGGTATTGAAGAATTTAACACCGAACCTGTTAAATGACCCGAAATGTTGTAACGTTGTCTCCCAGTCAAACACCTGAGCATCTGTTTTTTTTTTTATAATTTATATATGTTCATGGTTTGACGAACGAAATAAACTCTCTCTCTCTATTAGTTTAAAATACTGACTTCTGGACTTGGCTAATTTTATGCATATCAAAACTTGTCATTTATTTTGTTCCATGTATTTTCCACATGTTTTTCCAATAAAACATACTTACGCCTTACTACTGTTATTTGTAGCTTATTATTGTTAGCTAATTATTTTTGAGGTGGGGCGCAAGACTTCACAATTCTAAAAGGGGGTGCGGCTTGAAAAGTTTGGGAATGTTTGTATGTAGTAGACCCTAACCTGGTACACATGGTTCCGGTGTCTACCAACTGGGTTTACATACTTCAAGAGTACCTTTTTGTATTACAGTTGTGAAACAGAAAAAGCTGAATGTCGGTCTTATTCCATCTGTAAATTTACCAAAAACTCCACAAAGAATGAACAATGTGTATTATCGATGAAATGGAAAATGACATATAAAAAATACAGAAGCTGTAGAAAATATTTTGCATTACAGAAAAATTAGTTAGTTCACATATTAAATATTTTACATTACAAAAAAAATGGTGCTCCAGAAGTATGTGTACCAATATGAAGGTAACTAATTTTGTTCGCCTACTTTATATCAAGTTGTGTAAATGGACTAAATTCTATCGGTAGGGGGATATTCACTTGTGTAACACAGACAATTCCCGAACTTTTAATAGAACAAAAATAAGGAGAATCGTAACCTAACCTGGTACACATACTACGAGTACCGAAAAAACAGCCCACATAGTAAAAGCAGTTATGGAAATACTTTACATTACAGAAAAATTAATTCACATAGTAAATAGCAGACGAAGGAAATATTTTGCATTGCAGAAAAAATAGCTCACATAGTTAATAGCAGTCATGAAATATTTCTCACTATTGATTACAAAAGTATAATTGCATCCAAATCAACAGTATCTATACGACTATATAAAGGATCGTTAAAATTAAATAATATTCATATTGATAACAAATGTATTCTGATCAATTTTAATATATCTAAAACAAAATCTTCATAAATATTTTTGTAAATTTACAATACATGAAAATATGTGAAACAAACTCAGGTTCTCCATTACATAATACACACATTTCATTCCCTGCTTTCCTTCCAATTTCTGGCTTTTGTTTTCAATGGCAAGATATCCCAGAGTAATTTATAGTTAAAATCAGTATTTTTAATAAGTAAACGAATAGCTCGCAGTCCGCAGAGCCATGTGATTCATATGGAGCACAGAGCTATGATTGAGAGAGGCCGTCGTTCGCCATATATTCAGGCCTTCTTTTCGGCTTTCTTCTCCCCTTGGATAAATATGTAAATCCCATGTTATATCAATTAATAAATACATAAATAACCGCACTCCTCTCGGCGACTGGTTCATATTCTGTTCTGTAGATACGTTTTCTGTCTAATAGATATGCATTCCCAATAAGCATATGCTCATAGTTGTATGCTTTCAACGTACCATACTTCGAAACCCAAAACCAAATATGTATTGAAGAATTAGAGACCTCAAGTCAAGTTAATACGGCCAATTTCGCACCCGACTCGGCTGAAGCAAGGGATTTTGGCAGCGACCAATGCGTTTTCTTAATATGCAACGAACCATTTAGCTGGACGACGTAAAATGCAGGGAACAATGCCACAATGAGCAAATCTTTGCAAGTTTCCACTCATTGTATATATGCTCATTGATTATCGTAATACGTATGTATGCACACATTGAGAAATATTTATACTTCACAAAAGTCTTGGGTCTGTAAGTGCAAGGTGCAAGTATAACTAGATAATGGCACATGGAACATTTAACAACATCGAAAGTTTCATGCGTAGTGACGTATAACCAAATAGCTACCAGCGAATGTTAAAAAATTACAACAGATAATTTGCGAAAATTGTATATATATATAATGTTTTCTACCAAAAAAACGAGAAGTATTGGGAATGAATAAAAAACGTCGAAAACCACTGTTCTAACTGGAGAATTCTATTGAAATCTAACATTGGAATATTTTTATTATATTTACCTTTAAGGTACACCTAGCACTTCAGCCAGTACCTCATCGCCACCGATTCGAAGGCGTAGAATTCTCACAACACGAAGAAGCAGGAAAAGTTATCGCCTATCAACTACTAGATCTCGGAAAACTTACAATTGGGAAAAGTCATTCGCCGGAAGTTCTCCATCGGCTTTCGGCGGTAAGCGGTCTGTGTCCAGTCGTCACTTAAATAGCAGTTCGAGTGCACTTGACTGTTTTCTACAATTTTTTAATACGACTGTGATTGAGTTCATTGTTCAAATGACCAATCTCAATGCTACTACAAAACTACATGGTGAGTGTCTAATCTGTTAATTTTCCGCAAATGTAATATTTATCGATCCATTAACAGCTATATAGATACATATCATTGATAGTTTGCACGAAAAAAAGTTGGTTCATCTACATTTCCCAATTATTTCACAGAGGAGTCCATCAAAAACAACACCAAGGAGAAAGCTTGGAAGCACGTTGACGCGGAGGAGATGTATGCTTTCATAGGATTGGTCATCCTTATGGGAATCATACGTCTTCCAACAGTCGATATATATTGGCAGAAGAAAAATTGGATCCTAGATGTACCGAGTTTTAATGAAGTTATGTCAAGAAAACGATTTCGAGACATTTGGCGTTATTTACATTTTTGCGACGAAACGTTGGCACCAAGTGCGGAAGACGCCAACAAAGACAAGTTGCATAAAATTCGAGGACTGCTATCGCTCATATTGCCTTTATTCCAAAACTCCTATACCCCAGGTAAAGAAATTTCTATCACTGAAACCCTGATTCCCTTCAAGGGTCAAATCTGTTTTCGACAAGTTACAGAATCTAAGCGAGCGCGTTTTGGAATCAAGGTTTGGGCATTAACCGAATCCTCGACTGGATATGTATCGAGATTGCAATTTTATTCTGGTACAGATCCAACCTCAAATTCAGAACTAAGCTTACCTTCAAATGTCGTAAGTTATCTGATACAACCTTTCGAAGGCTTATATCACCACCTCTACGTTAACCATCTATACACCAACCCTGAACTCTTCGAAGATCTTCTTTCAAAAGGTGTATATGCCTGTGGACTGTTTAGAAGCAATTCTATATTTTTTCCGAAAGACATAATCGCTAAGAGCACTGGTGAATTAGCGAGAGGAACTAGCGACTGGAGGACTTCGGGACAATTATTGGCACAATCTTGGGTTGATAATGGAGCGTTATATTTTCTTTCTTCAATCCACGAACCCGAGTATGAAATGGCGCACGCAGGCAAGAAAACAGTGAAACGAAAGCGTGGACGTGGGCAAAAACTCGGATCAGTGGAGGTGCCGTGCCCCCCTGTTGTTTGTGATTACATGACTCACATGGGGGGCGCGGAACTTTCGTGTCAAATTAGAAAATACTACAACATGACAAGACGATCAAATATTTGGTATAGGCGAGTATTTTCGTATTTAATCGAAGTTGCAATTCACAACGCTAGAGTTATATATCAAAACGTATCAGGGAAGCGATGGGATGGTTATCAATTTAGAGAAGAGCTCATTACCTCCCTTATTGGTAGCTACAGAGCTTCCCGGCGAACCTCTCATAATACGTCCGTTCCATCTCTCCCCAGACTCTGCAATGTGGGTCGTCATTTCCCATTGCCCACACAAACTCGGTTAGCATGCCCTGTATGTTCTAAAAAGAACAAAATGGCCCCTGCTGCCGAAAGGACGACTCCTTCGAGAAGCCGCGTGAGATGTGGTGAATGCAATGTTCATCTATGTGTCAGCGATGGAAAAAATTGCTTTCGCGATTGGCACACCAAAATTGAGTATTGGAGATAAAAATTACTGTTGCATTTTTACTTGCCATTTCATGCATGCATTGTGGATATTTGAAACGAGAATTTTCATTCTACGACGGTTCTATTTAATTCGTGTAGTTATTTTACCGCCACTGTTTTTTATATCGTCACTCAGTGATTTGAAAATACTATGAATTTTTTATTCAACTTTTTGTGGGTGTTCGAACGTTATGCAGACAGTATGTGTGTAGCGACAGAATAACTTACAGGGCATAGATAAAGAGCTAGCATGTTTTAAAGAGGGTTTACCAGAAATTACTGGACGCACGTGTACAGGCCAACAGATGCATTTGGTCAAATGACAGATGTTCCTCAGCGATTCAATACGATACTATGGTTCCATAATTTCCGGTGCATTGATATGACACAGGGACGTGGTATTGGAAGTTGGAAATGTAAAAAAATGGGGGTTGAAATGTAAAAAATAACAGCCAACTTCCTGTGTGATACATAGCATTTTTTCGTAGCTTGAAATGCTTTTAAGACCCTCAAGAATCGTGAAACACACACGTTTTCAGGCGTTCAGTCGGGCCCGCAAGTTCTTTCGATCTAACCGGCAAAATAGAAATTCAGAACCCTTCACCCCCTTTGAAAAATTCTGGCTACGCCCCTGATATGACATACTCTTTTTATTGTTGTATATACTCCTAGTCTCTCGTCAAAGACCCGGCCACTGGCTATATTATCACGCATGTCGCGATTGGCTTACACGCGAAAACATAGGCATCTATCCACGTTTTATACTCAAAACACCGTTAAGGTCAAATAACACTAGCAAATGAATAAATACAGGTGAATACAAGAATTAAAATATAGTAATACAATTAAAATACCGCAATACCGGTTGAATAACAGCTACGGTGATACGGATTAAATTCGTTTACTATTCTATGTACGGTAAATACAAAGCCGCAATCTCGCTAAAATGTTGAAAGTAATATTAGGGTATGTCATATGAACCACGACATAGTATCACGATGTTCTCAATAATTGAAGAAAACAGCCAACTTACTGGGTCTAAAAACGATCCCGACCCGTCAGAATAAAAAAAAGCGTTCGTCATAGCCCATAGATCCTTTTAAGTTTTAATAATTTAAGATGCATTGTATTGCCGAACACCAATATTCGTGTGTTTTATTCCTTTGGCGGTTTGAAAGTAGCTTTGTCGTTACTACGATCACTTAAAATGACATTTACTTACGAATTCTTTCTACAACGCTGCGTAGAAGATTTGTTGAGAATGCTATAATGGTGGACTTGAATTAGCTGAATAAAACAATTATTTTTGCAGCTGCTTCGCAGTAAAATAATGTACAAATCTCCCGCGTAAACGGATGATCGAACACAATGAGCGCTTGAATATTCACCTTTTTGCATTATCTCGTGTGCTTAAATACTTGCGTTCGTGTTGAGTTACGGTGAATAAAATGGTTAATATCCCTTTACAAAAGAGAGAGAAGCGGTGACGTATCACCCGACGAAAGAAAAAGAGAAGCGTTATAATATATCAGTTATGTATAAACACGTCGTTCAGAGCCAGTTCGACCATATTTATCGAAACTCTGAAAAAGTTGTCTCGTTTTGGATAATGGCGAGTCTACAATCTGGAATTTCAGATAGGCAAGACGTGTTATGGCAGATTGAAAATGAGGAATTCATACCGAATAGTGATTCCGATGATGACGACTTAGATGCGTCTGATGTTTCTGAGTATGAAGAGTTATCAGAGTCCAGTACTGACAACGAGGAAGACTCAGAATGTACGTGTGATTTTTTTTTAACTATTCAAGACGATTCCTTTCGAGATGTAACGACATAATATTACACTTACTTCACAGGGACACCTAGCACATCAGCCAGTATTTCGTCGCCGCCAACTCGTAGGCGTAAAACTACTCCCGAACTCCAAAACTCTCCCACAACACCGTTGAGTAGTAAAGGTTATCGTCCCACAACACCGACAAATAGGAAAGGTTACCGCCCGTCAACTCCAAGATCTCGGAAAACTTATGATTGGAACAAGTCATTTGCCGGAAGGTCACTCCGTCCTTTCGAAGGTCAGCGGTCGGTGTCCAGTGGCCTATTGAATAGCAGTTCTAGTGCGCTAGACTGCTTTCTTCAATTTTTCAATATAACTGTGATAGAATTCATTGTCCAGATGACTAATCTCAATGCTACTCGAAAAATGGATGGTGAGTATCTAACTTTTTTTATTTACTTATCGATCCACTGGAAGGTATATAAATAAGATTCATTTATTTACACTCCCAATCATTTCACAGAACAGTTAGCCAAGAACAATATCCTGGGGAAGTCCTGGAGAAACGTTGATTCGGGGGAGATGTATGCTTTCATTGGAATGGTCATCGCCATGGGAATCATCCGTCTTCCAAGACTCGATATGTACTGGCAGAAAAAAAACTGGATCTTAGACGTGTCAAGTTTCAATAAAATAATGACAAGACAGCGATTTCGAGACATTTTGAGGTATTTGCATTTTTGCGACGAAGCTATGGCGCCAGGAGCGGAAGACCCTAACAAAGACAAGTTATACAAAGTTCGCGAACTGTTAACAATCCTATTGCCACTATTTCAAACATGCTACACACCAGGCAGAGAAATCTCTATCGATGAAACCCTAATTCCATTCAAGGGCCGAATTAATTTTCGACAATTTATAAAAACCAAGAGAGCACGTTACGGAATCAAGGTTTGGGTATTAGCCGAATCCTCAACTGGATATGTGTCGAGATTGCAATTTTACACTGGTAAGGATCCAATGTCAAAACCCGAAACCGGATTAGCTTCACGTGTCGTAAGGTATTTGATGGAGCCGTACGAAGGTTTATACCATCACCTTTATGTTGACAATTTTTACACCAGTCCCGAACTCTTCGAATACCTTCTATCGAAAGGTGTATACGCTTGTGGAACTTTCAGAAGCAATCTCATAAACTTTCCGAAAGATATAATCGTATCGAAAATTGGTTCAGTTCCAAGGGGCACTAGCGACTGGAGAGTTTCGGGCCAATTATTAGCACAATCCTGGGTGGACAATACGGTGGTATACTTTCTTTCTACGATCCACAAACCCGAATATGATGAAGAACACGAGGATAAAATGACCGTAAAAAGAAGAGCTGGCCGTGGAAGAGCATTCGGATGGGTAGAAATACCGTGTCCTCCTTTACTTCGTGATTATAACGCCCACATGGGGGGTGTAGACCTCTCAGATCAAATGCGAAAATACTACAACTTGACGAGAAGATCGAAGGTATGGTACAGGCGAATATTTTCGTATTTGATCGAAGTTGCGGTTCACAACGCAAGAGTTGTATGCGAAAACCTATCAAGAAAGCGACGGAACGGGTGTGAATTTAGGGAAGAGCTTATCACGGCCCTTATTGGTGGCTATAGAGCCTCACAGCGAACGTCTCGAACAACGTCTGCCCAACCTCTTCCCAGACTCTGCAATGTAGGGCGTCACTTTCCATTACACACAGCAATCAGGATGGTTTGCCCTGTATGTTCTAAAAAGAAAAAAATGGCACATGCTCCGCAAATAAACTTCGCTTCGAGAAGCCGTGTAAAATGTGACGAATGCAATGTACATCTTTGTATGAGTGAGGGCAAAACATGCTTTCGCGATTGGCACACCAAAGTTGAGTATTGGAGGTAGAATTTGATGACATAATTTTTTTTCTCGGTATGTTCCTCGTGTTTTTTTGTGAACAAATTTTCGATGTTGCGATTGCTTTTTCATGGTTTCTGTTTACTATATTTTGTGCAGTCTTCTTACCCACTGTTTTTATATCGCCTGTGATCTGATTTGGCTATTATTAATGTCCATTAAATATTCGTGATTGATAGCGGTACTATTTTAATTTACTAAGCCTATACACTTTTACATCGTTACCTCTCATTTGCTGTGCTTTATAAATGCCATTTACAGGAAACAAGGTGCGTGAGTGGCATCGAATGAGACACAGTCCGTCAACCGTTCAAGCTTGCTTGGACTGACATAAATATAGCTTACAAAAAGGTATAGATCGATTGCCCGAAAGTACAGTACTCCTGGATATGCCGTAGGGAGCGTAGATAACCTTGTAGTTACTGCTATACAAAAACTACACCACCTTGACCAATACAACAAAAATAAAGAAAAAGCTTACATAGGAAGATTAGACATCTTTAAGCATACACTGAAATGATCTACACTTAACAAATGAGCTCGATCACATTTTTATACTATTGCTACTCTAATGCTCGTCGTCAATAGTTTCAACGAAATCAAGATAACGTTTTGTAGTCAACCATTGCAATCAAATTGGCTAGTATTTGCTGGCTGGCTGTATCACTCAGTAACCAAGTATGTATAGGTAAACACTTAACCATTTAACTTCGAATCGCCAAACATTTCATTAAATGTAGCTTGACTCGAAAAAATGTTTTTTATTAATTTTAAATTAACACTTTTTGTCCATATATCATATCCGTGAATCGAAGTTATTAAACTGGTTTGGAAAAAAAAATATTGTTACTAGTTTGCTCAGAGAAAGCAAGGTCCCGATCCCTGCCCCAGATTAAAAAAAAAACTCAAAATAGTTGCAGAATAGAGAAGATTACGTGAGCGCGGATTAAGGAAGCTACAAGAAATAAAATATAGGTTAAGTTCACTGCAGAGATGTCATTATATATCGGTAGACACGACACCTGAAGCAATTTTAATAATCAACACTGTCAGGGAGAGAAGGAAAAAAATGTCATAAAGCTTTGTATTTCGAACAGAAACTTTTGGTATCGAGCTGCTGAAATTTTATTATCAATCTAAGGAAAGCGGATGAGTTGTGGAAAGTCGTTCCTCCCTTTGATGCCTGTTTTATTGTAAATTTATGTTAGATATACATAGTCACGTAAAAGGAAGTAAAACTCGATTTTTTTTGCGATAAAGTTTAGGCGTAAAATTAAAAGGAACATACAATTTTAGAGAACGTATTTTTCATATACAATTGGTGCGAAACGTATACCGTTGCTTCGTCGACATAACCAAAACAGGCAAATTGAGTGAGGATTCAACTTGTCGCGTCACATTAATTAGGTTACGTGAAGCGCAGGTATGGGCTATATTACTAGAAACTGGTGTATATGTTTTTATATACACCCTCCAGATAAGAATCACGATTAATTATAATAGAATATAGGAACATTTTTGTCATTCTATGAATGGTTTGCAAAAAAAATTTTTTTATATATATTTTCTATTCGTTTGAAATTAATAGTATATACCGATGTCAAATCAGTTCGTTTCCGAAAATAGAACCTCAAAAACTTTTTCTACGATCGATAGTTACAGTGTATTATCTCCGGGCCACATCACAATTTTATCCTATTCACTGATTGGTTGCATGACTTTCCCGTGTCGCAAATTTATTATATAAATTGTAGTTACGTTGTAATGGAAAATTAGAGTAAGGTTAACTATAGCCTAGCACCTAGGCTCTAGCTGCATCAATGTGCTTGTCGGATATTAACCTGTTGCACCCACTCTTTTATTTCCAGTTTCTTGTTGTTGTTTAGTCATAAAAAAGACCTACCGTTTGCTATAAGTCTGTTCGGTCACTACTGGCATTCGGTATTTAACACTTCTGTCGCTTTTCTAAATCAGTGGGACCCCTTTGGTGTTCTCGTCAAGTTCTGGTAAAAAGAGGGTTAACGTCTGACTTTGCGAGAGAGTGGCGTAAAAGAGAGAGAGAGGTAAAAAAATCCGCGCATCGATCCACAACAGTCTTACGATGTACATCGTCATTTATAAATTCCAGCGTGAGTTCGAATACGTAATGGCGGCTCAACAGGTTGCGATTCGCGATGGACAGGACGTGTTGTGGCAGATTGAAAATGAAGAATTTGTACCGGACGGTGAATCTGATATTGACGATTTTGATGGATCTGATTTTTCTGAAGAAGAAGAAGAAGAAGAAGAAGAGGTATTTTGGTCTACTGCTGAGAACGAACAGTCATCAGAATGTACGTTTAATTTATAATATTTTTTTTCAATAATTTCATTAAAATTTAACACTGGATTACGCTGACTTCACAGGGACCCTTAGCACACCAACCAGTACCTCATCGCCACAAATTCGAAGGCGAATTGCTCATAAACGACAAGAAAGTCCCATAATACCGATAAGCAGAACAAGTTGTCGCCCGTCAACTCTGAGGTCTAGGCAAACTTACAATTGGGAAAAGTCCTTCGCCGGAAGATCACTGCGGGCTTTCGGCGGCAAACAAGTGGTGTGCAATCGACACCTTAATAGCGATTCCAGTGCGCTTGACTGTTTTCTTCAATTTGTAAATACACGTGTGATTGGATTCATTGTTGAGATGACTAACCTCAATGCTACTCGAAAATTGCACAGTGAGTATCAAATTTAACTATGTTCAATAATGCACGATATACTTTTCGACCTAGTCACATGTTGACGCGCTACAGTCTATAGATACATTTCACTAAGAGTACATGATTCCTATAATCTTATCAATCATTTCACAGCTCAATCTATCAATAACTGCACCGAAGAGAAGGCTTGGAAAGCCGTTGATGCAGTGGAGATGTATGCTTTTCTTGGATTGGTCATTCTTATGGGGATCATCCGTCTTCCAAGTATCGATATGTACTGGCAGAAGAAAAGCTGGATCTTAGACGTGTCAAGTTTCAATAAAATAATGCCAAGAAGTCGATTTCGAGAAATTTGGCATAATTTGCATTTTTGCGACGAAGCTTTGGCGCCAGACGCGGAAGACCCCAAAAAAGACAAGTTATACAAAATTCGCGGACTGTTAAATATCATATTGCCATTATTTGAAACATGCTACACACCAGGAAGAGAAATCTCTATCGATGAAACCCTAATCCCGTTTAAGGGCCGAATTAGTTTTCGACAATGTATAAAAACTAAGAGGGCACGTTTCGGAATTAAGGTTTGGGTATTAGCCGAATCCTCAACTGGTTATGTGTCAAGATTGCAAATTTACACTGGTAAGGATCCAACCTCAAATCCAGAAATCAGATTAGCTTCTCGTGTCGTACGATATCTGATAGAGCCTTTCGAAGGCCAAAATCACCACCTTTACGTTGACAATTTTTTCACCAGCCCTGAACTCTTCGAATACCTTCTGTCGAAAGGCGTATACGCCTGTGGAACTTGCCGAAGCAATAATATAAACTTTCCGAAAGAGATAACCATACCAAGAATTGGTTCAGTTCCAAGGGGCACTAGCGACTGGAGGGTTTCGGGACAATTACTAGCACAATCCTGGGCAGATAATAAAGCGGTATACTTTCTTTCTACAATCCACAGACCTGAATATGATGAAGAACACGAGGATAAAAAGACCGTGAAAAGAAGAGCTGGGCGTGGAAGAGCAACCGGGTTGGTAGAAATACAGTGCCCCCCTTTACTTACTGATTACAACGCTCACATGGGGGGCGTAGACCTCTCTGATCAAATGCGAAAATACTACAACCTGACAAGAAAATCGAAGGTATGGTACAGGCGAGTGTTTTCATATTTAATCGAAGTTGCGATTCACAACGCAAGAGTTGTATGCGAAAACCTATCAGAGAAGCGATTGAGTGGGTTGGAATTTAGGGAAGAGCTTATCACCGCTCTTGTTGGTGACTATAGAGCTCCGCGGCGCACGTCTGCAACGACGTCTGTTCCATCTCTTTCCAGACTCGGCCATGTGGGACGTCATTTACCAGTGCCCACACAAACTCGGTCGGTCTGTCCTGTGTGCAAGAAAAAGAACAAGGTAGCTTCTGATCCCGAGCAAGTGTACGTGTCACGAAGTCGCGTGAAATGCGACGAATGCAATGTACACCTTTGTGTGTGCGATGGTAAAACATGCTTTCGCGATTGGCACACCAAAGTTGAGTATTGGAGGTAGAAAGTAATTATATATATTTTTTCTTTCGGTTTACCCTTTGTGTTCATTTTGTGAGCAAATTTTTGAGGTTGTGGTTGCTTTTTCATGGTTTAATGCGGTCTTTTTTCTAAATTTTGTATAGATTTTCACCCACTGTTTTATATCGTCTGTGATTTGCTAATAATAATAATCTTATTTCCTATCAGAATAATTGTGATTGACAACGGTACTATTTTTAATTTGGGCAGCCTATACTTTTACATCGTCATTTGTCGTTCGCTTTGCTATATTAATGCAATTCACTGGAAACAAGGGGTGCGTGTCGTGTGACGAACAGTCTTCATTCTTGCTCTCTCAAAAGTATAGCTCGCAGTTCGTTAAAAACACAACGATACCGCAGTTGCTGGGCAATACCAATTTCATGGCCATGCCATGGTTACTTTTGCAATCACTGCTACTATAAAAAAAAATTCCCCGCCTTGAAAAAACTATGAACAACAAAATTGTAGACAGGAAGATTGGATAACCTCAACCACCGGTTTAAACATGAAAATTCTAAAATTTGCATACTTATAAGAAAGTTATCACCAAGTACCTTCGGGACTAATCAAATATTCAGAACCGCTAGCCGTTTTGAAGGTATCAGTATTCGATGGGTGTAATATTTATATTATTTTTCATTAATTAAATTAGAGGCGTTAATAGTGTGAAGAATGTGCTTAGTGGAAACTGATATGGGTTGCTATAATAATATATATATATACTACATAATTATGTGCCAAATATAAATTGATATTCGCCAAAGCCCTGTTTGTTAACATTTATAAATCACATCCTTAACACTACCAATTACCATTCTGCCCTCGTTGCCTGTATACAACGTTCTGTCCCACTAATGTTTCCGTTGTTAATTTAGCAAATCTCTTGCGCATATAGTTGAATGTGCTTATCTCATCTAAGGCGATGGTTACGCATCGTGCGCGCATTGACGCATGACCATTTTTAATGTGTGGCGCCTTTGAGAAAATATTATAATAAAAGCAGGCTGATTTTGCTTCGTCTGAGCCAAACCTGTCCTCAAAAAGTTTGTAGTAGTAGCTAGTAAACAAACACGTCAATGAAATGCGCACCAGTTGTTTATAAATGTCTATCATTAGTGTTTCTTACATACTGTATACTGTTGTTGAAACAGTGTGAGAAAACCTCAGATTTCTCGACCGCGTAACGTGCGATAGTTTGAATAATGCAAAATCGGAACCTAAACTATAGGCAAACTAGGTATTCAACAGCCAATATTCGTATTGATAACACCAATGACACGAATTTTATGTTGTTAATATTTGGACGAGGCACAGTTTGGTTGCATGTGTTGAGAATGGTTGAACTAGAGCTCTGCATTCGGCTCTCAAAGCGATGTCGGTGGCGGGATAAGTTATCCATCTCCCAGCGGTAACTCTTCTTTTTGCAACCACGAAACAAAAGTGAGATATAAAAAAATTGACGATGTCCCGAAGTGAATCAATCAAGCATTAAATCGAGATAAATTATATAGAAACTGGTCAATATTTTTTGATGTGGCCTGAAGCTATAACATTGTAAATGTAGGTTTGGTTGTTTTAATTTACGCAAACGAACTCATTTGCCATCTTTATATAATATTAATGTAGGGAAAATTGAATATAGGCTAACGTTTTGTGTAGACTGTTTATGATGGAATGACCTAAAAACCATTGTTATTTAATAGTCATTCTGTGTATCTCAGCACAAAACTAATACAACAATTACTAGTATTATCGTCTATACTCTTATCTATCGTATACATACGATTTGCACAATTCACAAAACATATTCATGTGATTTGACAATATGATGGCTGATTCAATTTGCCTGTGTTGATTATATCGACAAAGCAACAGAAATCGATTCGCAATGATGTCATATGAATAAATGCAGACACGGAGCTCATGTGCCCTTTCCATCGTTATGCCCATTTTTTATGAAAACACAACTCAACTTTTACTTTCTTTTAGGTGACTAAAATATGTACCCTGATAATATATATGGGAAGACACAGCGAATGAGTTACGATTCTCCAGTCATGTCCTATAGACTGTGATTAAGCTGCACTGAACCGGCAAAGTTTAGAGAGTATCGTTGAACGAATAATTGAGCAGTAATAGTACAGTGTGCTTCTTAGGAAGTACCCTAATGGCGGCATGCCGTGTGTTTGTAACAAATATTACAATGAAGCGACAGGCTGCAGCAGCAATGTAGTATGCGGAGTTCAAAAACTACGCGCGAGAAATGCAAAACAATTTCAACATGGTGTATAATAAGTGAGAAATTAGTAGTGCGAGGTATTAAAATCCTCGTAACGATACGGCGAAGAGAGTATACCAATAATTAAACTGTTGGTTTTGCAGTAATTGCCTATCTTTTGCTTTGCTAAAAGAGCGTTCGGTCACTACGGCATCCGGTTTTCAACACTTCTGTCGCCATTTGAACGGGCGGGAAAATGTTTGAGTTCGTGTCAAGCGCTGGTGAAAACGGGTTAACATCTAAACTTTCGAGAGAGTGGCGTGCAAGAAAATGAGAGAGAGAGAAAGGGGGAATTTGCGTTACAAAAAGCCAGTCATGTGAACGACGCCGATAAGTGACGGTCTTGTCCTATTTATCGTAAAGCTTATATTTACTAGGGAAAAGCTCGAACAGGTTAATATGGCGGTTCAACAGGGTACAGTTTTGAATAATCAAGACGTGTTATGGCAGATTGAAAATGAAGAATTCATACCGGACAGTGATTCTGACTATGACGATTTTGATGGATCTGATATTTCTGACGAAGACGAATCATCTTGGTCTGGAACTGACGACGAGCAGGACTCGAAATGTATGTATCATTTTCGTAATCAGTAGTTTATTTTCTCACCACACCAAAAGCACACTTGATGTACAAATTGCGATAAATAGTTAAAAGGCATTTCAGGATGAGAAGAGCCAGAAAAACCAAATTTGGTTATCGAGCAGCGGCACTCATTATCGATCAGCGGTATCTTTTTGGAATATTACATTTAGTCTTATATTTTATGAGATACAAAACACATATACACTAAAATACCTCTAAACAGTCCGCTTAACTTTTTAGGGAGCCCCAACACAGCAACACCAAGTACCTCACTGCCACCAATTCGTAAGCGTAGAACTTCGCATGAAAGCCAAGAAACTCCCACAACGCCGAAAAGCAGGAAACGGTATCGCCCATCAACTCCAATGTCTCGGAAAACTTACAATTGGGAAAAATCGTTTGCCGGAAGATCACTTCGGGATTTCGGTGGTAGACGGGGGGTTTCGAGTCGCCGCCTGAATAGCAGTTCGAGTGTGCTTGACTGTTTCACCCAATTCTTTAATGCAACTGTTATTGAGCTCATTGTTGAGATGACTAATCTCAATGCCACTCGAAAACTGCATGGTGAGTATCTAATCTGACTCTTCTGTAGAATTGAAATAATATATTAGCATCTATAGCAATAGTTTTCAACAATATTTACACAACTATTTCACAGCGGAGTCCGTCAATAGTGACACTGAAGAGAAGGCCTGGAAGGCTATTGATGCAGAGGAAATGCATGCTTTTCTTGGATTGGTCATTCTTATGGGAATTATTCGTCTTCCAACGATCGATATGTACTGGCAGAAGAAAAATTGGATCTTAGACGTGCCAAGTTTCAATAAAATAATGCCAAGACGGCGATTTCGAGAGATTTGGCGTTATTTGCATTTTTGCGACGAGGCTATGGCGCCAGAAGCGGAAGATCCCAAAAAAGACAAGTTATACAAAATTCGCGCACTGTTGACAATTCTATTGCCTTTATTTCAAACATGTTACACACCAGGAAGAGAAATCTCTATCGACGAAACCCTAATTCCATTCAAGGGCCGAATTAGTTTTCGACAATGTATCAAAACTAAGAGGGCACGTTTTGGAATCAAGGTTTGGGTATTAGCCGAGTCCGCAACTGGATATGTGTCGAGATTGCAATTTTACACTGGTAAGGATCCAACGTCAAAACCGGAAATCGGATTATCTTCACGTGTCGTAAGGTATCTGATAGAGCCTTACCAAGGTTTATACCATCACCTTTATGTTGACAATTTTTACACTAGCCCTGAACTCTTCGAATACCTCCTATCGAAAGGTGTATACGCTTGTGGAACTTTCAGAAGCAATCTCATAAACTTTCCGAAAGATATAATCGTATCGAAAATTGGTTCAGTTCCAAGGGGCACTAGCGACTGGAGAGTTTCGGGCCAATTATTAGCACAATCCTGGGTGGATAATAAGGTGGTATACTTTCTTTCTACAATTCACAAACCCGAATATGATAAAGAGTACGTGGGGAAAAAGACCGTAAAAAGAAGAGCTGGGCGAAGGAGATCATCTAGATTTGTAGAAATAACGTGTCCACCTTTACTTAAAGATTACAACGCTCATATGGGGGGCGTGGATCTTTCGGATCAAATGCGAAAATATTACAACTTGACGAGACGATCGAAGATATGGTACAGGCGTGTGTTTTCGTATTTGGTCGAAGTTGCAATTCACAATGCAAGAGTCATATGTGAGAACTTGTCAGGGAAGCGATGGAGTGGTGGTGTTGGATTCAGGGAAGAGCTTGTCGCCTCTCTTATTGGTAGCTATAGAGCATCACGGAGAATATCTGAATCGCTATCTAGTTCATCCCATCATCCCAGACTCATGAATGTAGGACAACATATCCCATTAGTCGAACGGAATCAGGTGGTCTGCCCTGTATGTTCGAGAAAGAACAAGTTGGAAAACTCAGGAGAAAAGACGTATGTTTCGAGGAGTCGGGTGAAATGCATCGAATGTGGAGTTCATCTTTGTATGACTTATGGCAAAACTTGCTTTCGGGATTGGCATACCAAAATTGAGTATTGGAGGTAGACATCAATGGTGTGGTTTGGATGTTTACTTTCTGTTTGTTTGGGACAATATTCCTGGTATTACGATAAATTTTTTATTTGTTTCTTTGCACTCAAATTTTGCAATGTTTTTTTTCAACACCGTCTGCATTTCATCAATTTCGTTCTGTGATTTGAAAATACACTACTGCAATTTTCATCGAACAGGTGTAATAATTGGCTGCAATATTGTAATATACCAGTATATGCATTAATATTGCTTAGTTAAAACTTTCATTGCGTGGATTCGCCATGAATTCTATCGTTTAAATACAATTTCCCAATAACGAAAATCGTCTATTTAATCGCTTGTTTTCCGGTTTCAAGTACTCGCTGTAGCTTTACAAACTCGCCACGCTTTGGCAAAGATAACTTTCTATATAGCGGTACCTCCCAAATAAGATTTGCTGATTTGGTAGTACGAAATAAATTCTCCACATTTTAACAGCTTCGTCTTGAATACCAGATCACGAAAAAGTTATTTCTATTCACTTACATTTGCAGAGAACACTCTCGCCTACACGTCTCTCAGTATCAGCTAGCCTTTAAATATTCTCTTTGAACTTACCAAGAAACGTATGTATTGTTTATTTCTTGTAAAATTTTATGAGGGAAACTAGAAAGGACGCCGTTTACACACAAAGGGTCGCGTTTACAAATTTACGCACCTTACAAAAGTGAAAACCAACTTGCAACAATTGGACAAACCATCTGATAACAATATCCTTGATTACAATATAACTGTTGATTGATTGAGAACTGTTGATACTAATTGATTGTGTTTGTCAGAATGAGTTGATTATTTAGTATGTGAACAACTTTACAAGAAAAAACGCTCTCGCGAATATCTGAGCCGAGACTGTAAAAATATTTAAAGGAGTGGATCCATCCGCAACCCAAATTTCCGGTTGTCATTATGGAGAAATACAGTACTAAGATTGTCAGACGGTGGTATAAGTAGTAAATTTGACCTTACTTATCTTTTGTGTCAATTTATCTCTCTGCTAATATACGTATCCGCTAACGGAAAGTGAACAATAAAACGACTACCGAATTTGAATTGTTCAGGAGGGCCTAAAAATGTTGGAATCCACGCTGCTTATCAAGCTCATTTAAAAATTGAAACGATATAAAATAAAACGAAAGATGCATCAGCAATTCGGTTTCAGTACATTGCGTCATTTAAAAACTTCTGTAGTAAAGATATTTTCGATAGAGTATCGAAATAATTTCACGTTATGCCAGTTGTCAACGGAAGCAATATCGTATTTTATTTATTATAATATTTACTACTTCAATTTATTGTATTAATCGGAATTGCGATAATAATTAACCTTAGTCTCGTTTGCGTGTGCAATGAAGGGGTGGGCAAGGAGGCAAGTGCAGTTTTAAGCACCCTGTGGCGTCTGAAGCTGCCGCAAAACCATGGCGGGATTTCCAAACCATGGCCGCTATGGCCAAAACATGGCGGCTGACTTTTTGGCTTCCACACACAAATGGCGTGGGGCGTGGTAGCACTTTAGCAAATTGAAAACTATGGGGGGTAAAATTGTGCTCGCAGGACTGCCACTGATGGTGACACCCTTTGGGTAAGTTATAAAATATTCCTTAGGGATACAGTTTTGATTGATTTGGGGTTAGGTTTCAGGTTTAAGTATATATAATTTGGCATGATAAACTAAACTCTGGTACGTGACTTCATGGATAAACCGGTAATAGCGTCATAAAAACAGGACAAGAGATGCCGCGGAATTCAGGAATCATAATCAGAAACTCGCTCTGGGCAGCAGAAACGTTTGGTACATACCCTGTGCAATACTATTTTAGAAGTTAGATTAGCAACCGTGGATTGCATATTTTTCGTAGAAAAAAATACATTTGCTAAAAAAAGTCAGCCATGAGATAAATTATATAGAATCTGGTCAATATTGTGTGATGTGGCCCGAAGCTATTACATTGTAATGTAGCTTCGGTTGTTTCAATTTACGAAAGCGAACTCATTTGACATCGTTATATAATATTAATGCGAGGAAAATTGAATATAGGCTAACGTTTTGTGAGGACAGTTTAAAGAATGACTAAAAATGTTCCT